TGTCATGGGTAAAAACTAAAAACAGCAACAACCCAGAAGGCCGTACTTTAATTCAGATTGATATTTGAGCAATAACAATATGTGTGTGGGTGTAAGAAAGAGGGAAAAAAAGACTGGCAGATGATTGCTAATGAATAAACAGTGACAAGATGAATCCTCGGATTGACGAAGATGCTCAAAATTGCACTTGCACTTTGTCTTTGATTGAATTAAGTTTTGTACAGTTGAATTACACGGAGAAACAAAGAGAACCACCGTTTTCAAAATACTAGTTATTAATCAGAAAGTCAAAACTGAGCATATCCAGCTCTGAGTCAGGAATAGCCAGGTGGAAAAAACAACAACATTTATACATGATCCTGAGTTTGCAGGTGCAGACTGGCTTCTCTGAAAGTGTGCAACACCCTCACAGCATCTGTTCATGTGGCAACCCACAGCTACTCATTTTCCAGCCATTTCAGGAAACAACTTGTGACAGCAGGACTGGTCTTTAGCTAAGATACAAGGGTGAAAGCAAATGGAAACAAGTTAAAGCCGCTGTGTCTGAGCTCTACTGCATCTGTGACATGCAGAGGAGCAGAATGATATACCTGAGTGGCTGATGTGGTTTACAGACATAATCTTTATTTACAGATGATTCTCCACGGATGTCCATTTGGCCATTTGATTGGCTCTAGCTACTGTCCTCCCATGTGATAAACTGTGACTCTGTGCTTTTATCCATCCTACTGGATAATCGTGCATTCAGCTCAGTTAGCTCTGTATTAATTTCCCAGTTTTCTTGTGTATTTGAAGGGGAGCCCTTGGATTATTTACTGATGTTGTCCTCTGTGCCTCAGGCCATCATGCCAACCCGTCCTTTGTGGAAACAGTAGATAAGCACAAACATCAAGTCCAGCACCTCCTGTGGTGCCAATCAAAGCCACTGGATCCCCAGCACTTACTAAAGCCGTTGATATGGCAGAAGGACATGATGACCTTGCTGAGCTGCGACACTGGTGTATCCGCTGTATTGATCCAATATCTTATCTGTCTGCTCTCCATGGAGGGAGTGACACCCTTATCTCCTGTTGTGGTGGTCACCACTCCGCAACTGAAGAGTTACCCCCTTATAAAAACATAGCTTGTGTGTGTGTGTGTGTGTGTGTGTGTGTGTGTGTGTGTGTGTGTGTGTGTGTGTGTGTGTTTCTGTTTAACTGAAAGCAAATGAAAAGAAGATTTATAAGATGGAGAAGAAAATACACCATAGAGACACAGCCAGTTTCTGTTTCTGCCTCATTTAGCATAATATTCATTGTATGTGAACTATCATGACTAATAATGTAACATAATGTGCCGGGAAGAATAATAGATTTGATCAAATATAACTATAGCGTATAGTACAATTACTTAATAGTTTGAAAGAGCAGAAACATCAAAGTAATTGTATACAGACGGATGAACTTATGTCCTATATGTATGTAGTATTAGTTAGTACAAAAATGGCATGGTTACAATCATGTCCAGTAATTATCAGGTAAGTATTCACTTCTGTAGTTATTTTGTACATAAAAGTAATTCACCTCAAATGCATAACAGACAATAATGTACGTATTTAGCAGGTGAAGATGCTGTAATTGTGAATAAGAAAATTGGGTAATGGCTAACAGGAAATTAATTTATTTTAAAACATATGCACGTTGGTTTCGATGATAAAAAAAGAAAAGGAAGTCAGTCAGAAAGTTTGAAGTCTGATGTGTCCACTGAAAAAAAACTTTTAGTGTTTAATTTAATTAAAATCTGCTGCTGAATTTTTTTCCAGCTTTGCTTTACATAGTGGATAAATGGTAATGTTTTAATTCAGAGTACATTAGTGCTTAATCATACATACTGCTGATATTACAGAAGATAACTGAAATATTTGATTTACCCACAGCACAATTATGTCATAAATATAAAATGATTATCAAATCTATTACATTATTCCATAGCAGTTACTACGGGTCATTTCATTTTTTGGGTTAATTTGTTTCATAAATACATTTTTCATGCAAGTATGGAGCATCATTATTAAATATTTAGGTTTTTTTAACATTTAAACATACTAGTCATAATTTCTTGGAACCAACCACAGATAATTACCATTTTGTAAAAGTAGTACAATTATGAAGAAAATACTTTGATATTTACAGTTACATAGTACTGCTATTGAAATTACTGTTCTGTAACATTCAGAGCCAGCAGTATTGCTCCAAATTTGCACATAAGGGTAGAAAAAGCCACAGAAAGATGAAAGCAGGAGACAGGGGGCTGAGTTAGTTGAGCAGTGGAAAAAATCAATTTGTTTTTCAGCTTCCACGGTTTCTTTATTTAGTCCTTTTATTGAGCTTAAATTGTCTTCTTATTGACTGATGGGAGACAATGTGTCGACATGTCCCCACGGAGAGTGTCAAAGGTGTCAAACTCTTTCAGCATACTCGCTGAATGCACAAGCTATAAGCAATAACGAAGATCCAATTTTTGCACGGTTCAGAATGCCTTCAGCTTGATTTCTCCCAGATTAAATCACCCTGTGCTTTGAGGATAAATGACTTGTCTCAGAGGCTCGTGGGTAGCCAGCATGACAACTAACATTTGACATAACTGATGGCTTAAGAGCAGCTGGTATTTCCAGCCCACAGAAATAAGCCCGATAGCACAGAGAATAAAGGTGGCACTGCCATTTAGACTGTATGTGTTCACTCCTGTGTGGAATTGTTTTATAAATCTGAGGCTTCGTGATGTGGACTGTGAAAAGAGGGTCACTGCAGAGCTTCCAGGGTTGAAGTCTAGTTCTAAAAAAAAAAAAACCATTATCTTCCTTATGGGTCCACTGGGAGAGCTGGATGCTCAGCTGCAGTCATGAGACACACTGTCATGCAACAGTAGGAGAGTATTACTGGTAGCAACACAAGGGCATCACCTTGTTGCCCTGCGACTGTGACTAGCAAGTGTGAATTTCTCTTTTGTAGTCAGCGTAGTCTGAAGGAAGAAGAAGGTTCATAAATCACAGGCAAGTGACAAATCGATCCCCCGCCTTGGCACGCTCACAGTGTGTATTTCACATTTTGTGTTGTAAATCTTCAGTTTTTTTTATGCGGGTCAATACAGACACGGAGCCATTACACAGAAAGAATCTGACAGGCGACGTATTGACAACTTACAGGAGTCTCTTCCTCGCTGTTAGAACTTGGGGACATAAAATGTGTACTGTCATAGTCCAAATGTGTGATACAATAACTGAACCATTCGGAGGGAAGTAACATCACCGCAGTGGCTCAATTCTAGTCATTAAAAAGAACATGATTGAAATGAGATGGTACATGATAGCACCCTCTGGGGAAACTAAGGTGAGTGTAATATCATTCCATAAATGTTCCACTTGAGGTTTTCTCATTATCTTGCATTAACCTCTGCAGTCAACATGCCCGTGTGGAACTAGCAGATCATTTCCTCTGCCTAAACGTCTCTGACCTTGTCTGACTGTCATTGTTTTCACTACCACTCCCATTCTGGTTATAGGAAAGTCAATGTAAATGTTTTGACGGACACAGACTGCAAAACTAATAAATGTTCCACTGACTCCTTAGAACAATTTTCAAGCAGTTTTCTTGGATACCTGAACACAAAACTGGTTCAGTTTGATAGGGCTGATGTTTTTGGTGTCAGTTCAGGTTTTAAAAAATGCCAGTGAATCACTGGTTTGACAATATGTGTATCATGAATATTTCACTTTAGTTTGAATTTTGTTGACATCAAAAGTCATCGCATAAGCTGAAGGCAGTTTATTGCACGACAGCTGACGAATTTGCCCGGCTTCCTGATATCAGTTTTTGTTCGGTTTGAGTTTGATCTTGAATGAATCGATTCGTATCAGTGTTTTCCTTTCAATGGAGATAAAAGACTACATTTTAAATACAATTCCAACACTTGCTTGTCCTTGAAAAAACTGTAAGTCCTTTCATAAGACAAAAAGTGTTAACATAAACATAGAACAAAGCTTCTGAAGCTTTCAAGTGCATTCATTCAACAAAGGAGGGAGTGCTAGATATCATCAAACCTGTATCCCTCCTGCCCAAAGAAACAAGTGTGTGTGTGTGTGTGTGTGTGTGTGTGTGTGTGTGTGTGTGTGTGTGTGTACAGATAGTGATTCATTTTTTGATTGATTATTATATGTATCAAAAAGGATACTCATTGGCATGTTATTTATGATGATATACACTTAATAATAGAAATCCCTTGTCATAAAGACTACATTTGTCCATGTTTATTTATTTGTTTGCTGCATGGTAGTGGAAAGAATATTTGAACACTATTTTGTTCAATTTTGAAGTATTGTGTCTAACTTGTCTATCTAGGGCCATTCCTGTTCATATCAGTAAATTGTCATTGATATTAGTACCTGTAGCTCATTGTTATTCGCTTACAGTGAATACTTACAATAATAGAATTAATAAGTAAATAAATCAATGTGTTTGTTTATTTTCCATGTCTCCTACAGGCCCTCATACACCATCAGGCTATACAACAAACATGTTTATTACTGAGTGAAGATGCAACAAATTGTCAAATCAATGCACTAATTTAAAGATAGCTGAAACCACGGATTAGTTACCGGGAAGTGCAGAGATGCTGAGGTTACTGAACTGTATACATGTGGATATTTCCCTGAAAACAAAACTGCAAGAGAACATCCACCCTGTTTTACTGGGATATCAGAGACATCTACTGGCCATGAAACATACTTCATTGTAAATTAACTGAAAACCAGTGATTGGGGTTGGGTTGAACTTTTTAAACTTGGTATTTTCTGGGGTTTTTTCTGTCTTTAGACTTGGAACGTTTCTTGCCTGTCACATTTAAGAAGGTTACAAGTCACAGAGACAATTCATCAAATCAGTCCTTGTCAGGTGACATCTATGAGGGATGTGCTTTTGTAAAGCTTGAAAAACTTAAAGTACCCAATAATTTCCATGATGAAATAAAAGATTTGCTGTATTTAATTCATTCATTTAAGCACAATCAAAAACTCTGGTTAGTTTGTTTACAAAACATGCAAACAAATATCAAGTGAACACATTTTATGGATATTAATACATAAAAGCTTGATATTCTCAAAACAGCTGCATGTATGATACATAGTGACGAGAGACTCTGGCACAAACACATGGATATTCAAGACAATATCAACAAATGTCCCCATTTCAATTAAACAAACATTAAAAGCTGCTCATATTTTGACTTGTGTTGCACCCTGAAAAAGTTCAGTGGTGGTCTAATGAGTAATTCAGGATTTTTTTTACAGCTTAGTAAAAAAAATAATATACCAGCTTCAACTTCAGCAGTAACCGTAACTGATTATATGACGACATTGTTGTTTTGCTACAACATTTCACTTTATAGAGTGCTTTATGTCTTTCATGCGTTGCAACCAGAAAAAAGTAGCACCTGAGCCTGCAGAAACTGCCTTTCATCTGAACATCTCATACTTAAATTTCTAAAGCCTGTACAGAAGGCAATATGTGTAAGGAATGTCAATCATTCATTCTACAACATCCAACAGTGAATCTCAGCAGAGAACATATATAGTGTAACAAACCTCCAGATCAACAAGCAGCACAGTAACTGTACATCATCAATTACGTATCAATAGATTCCCTTCACCCATCATATCTTCTACAACATGTGAAATTCAGCATTTGTGTGATGCAATGATTAGGTAACACGAGTGTCTGCTGCTCTTCCTGATTCAGTCTGTGTAAATAAAATAGTAGCCAGTGTACATGTGAGTAGGTCCTAATTTATCCATACAGTGAGCGCCATGAGTCTGATATCTTAAAACTCTAAGTATAAACTGAGATCAAAATGTTGATTGTCAGTAGTTCAAGAACAACATTATAGGTCCAAACAAGACTGCTGATGATGAACAGCGGTATTTGTAAAAGAACGTGGATGAATAGTTTGACCATAATCTGATCTAATAAAATAGGAATAACATTAAAAGCACCTTGCATTCTTAAATTGTTTAGCTGATATGGCAAAAGATCAGCATTTTCACTCAGTTATAATTAAAGAAGTAAATATTTCACCAAACATATCTGATGCTATACCAATACCAACAGTACTCACTGTATATAAATATCAATACAATCATCCTGCCTTTTCTCTCATCATCAATTCACCACATTCTCCAAATCAACTCTTACTACCTCCATCCTTCATAATATCAAAATAGTTGGTTTTTTTTAGCAAAACTAAATTCCCTTTAACACATCATTTCTCCCTTTATCCTCCACCCTTAAAAATCAGTGTCTGGCCATTCAGCTGTCTGTAGACCCACTGCCCTTATTCTTATTGCGGCTGAGAGGGAAAGTGGACTTGCTCTGTGGCTGGGTCATTTTGCTGGCCAGGTAGACAAAGGGTTCAATCAGTGTGCGCCGGTCAACCACCGACACCTCCCACAAACGCACCTTCTCATTCTTTGCCCAGTTCTGGGCCATGTTAGAGTCAACTCTCCTCTCGTCCTGCTTGTCCAGCTTGTTACCCAGTACAACAATGGTCACCTGTGGATAATGATCATCAGGTTAGCCCCTCATCAGTTTTGGAAACAACATTCAAATTAATAATTTATAGATCTCATTCCAATACATATGGCATTGGACATTTTTTGGTCCACTCTAACTGACCCAAAGCTCAAAATGAACTTTCTCAAGCGTATAAATGGTTCAGTCCTCACCTCTTTCTTGTCTCTGTGGCGGTCGATGTCCTTCTTGAGGACCTCCATCCGCTTAAATGACTCCTTACTGTCAATGCTGTAGACAAGTACAAAGCCATCTGCAAAAGTGTAGTAATGTCGAGGAAACTCCATCCCATCCCTGAGTCCGCGGGTGTCGTAGAAACGCACCTGTTCTCGTGTGCCACGGTCAGTTTCTATGGAGCCAATATAGATATCCTCCAGGGTCTCCATGGGCTCTGAACCTGACAGTGGATAAACAAAGACAGGCCCCTATAGTGTCAAATACTGCACACGCATTAACACAATTGCTTGTAATTTATAGACTGCATCTGAGCACTTTTAAATTTCCTTAAGTGAAAGTTTAATAAACGGCAAAACACTTAATATGATAGGGTGAAAAAAACGCAATATAATAATATAATACGCAATAAATCTGTTCAACATTACACTTAAGAGTCTTAGTCTGGGGTTACAAATTGCAGTCAAATTGCAGCTATCATGTCGGTAATGGTTAAGTAATCTCTGATTACCATTCAGTTCCAAGTAAACTTTATAAACTGGAATTTAAGATGTATTTTATTATTCTGGGGTCTTCACAAGCTCTGTCGCCCAGTGTGACTCACTGACTGAGCAGAGCAGCATTTTGTTGTTGCAGGAAATATTTTACAAATTACTGTAACTGACTTAACTGTTAGACTTAATACTGAATTTCTGAAACCTGATGAAATAGTTTTCGCCTTCAAGAGCAAGCCGCCTATGTCCTGCAATTTACTTATACTGTAATAAAAGAACATTTTGCTTGTTCAATTGCTATTCTCAAATAAGTAGTAACGCATGTAAATAACCTTAATATAACATTTTATACGTGTAATTACAGTAATTACACAGAGAATAACCAACTTGTAACACATCCTTGACAATCCAATGGAACCCATTCATTTAAAACATGGAAAATAGTTTAATCATACATATAAAAAAGGTATACCTGCAACATGATTGGCATACAGTAGTTGTTCCAATACAGCTGTTTTACCAACTGCAGCCTGGCCACACACAACCACTTTACAGCTCTTCCCCATGACTCACACCCAGGTCAGACAATCTGTTTGTCGGAAAAAGACAGAGACAGACAGACGGAAAACTGCTCATCAAACACTTCACTCAGTATGTGAACGTTTCTGCAGTCTATGAAATTAAGAACTGACGCTAGCTTAGCATTAGCTTTCGGCGAGACAGCTACGAAATCGCAACAAACAAAAAAAAAAAAAAACGGCAGCTAATCTGAAAACTACCCCACACACACAAAAAAAACACGTGTCTTTAAAATATACACACGCTGTTATTCGCTCTCTGTTCGTGGATATGTGTCACGACAGTAATCTCTTCCTCGCAAGCTAAAAACCTGCTTCTGCTTACCTAACGGGCTACTTCCTGTTTACAGCGTACGTCACTACTGCAGTGTGTGGCCCCGCCCCTCTCCACTGACGGCAAAATGGCGACGGAGAACTGTGATGCTGTGAATATGGACCCTGACATGGAACTGCTAAGTGACGAAGAATTAGAGAGGTAAAACAAGTTAATGCTTTGTTGTCAGCGGGTGGTGTGTGTCCATAACGACGTCTAATACCGGTATTTACTCTCAACGGTGGTTGCCATGTTCATTTTCCCGTCGCAATAAGAAAGCTAAGGAGCGTGCTACCGCTAACTGTTCAGATAAAATGTTGCCCTGGATCGCGTTCAGCCTGCTCGTCCTCCACTCAGCTGGCTCCTGTGGTGGATTTTCTAGGTTTATAATCAGACACACTTTATGTACATAAAGACCTCGTTGCCTGTCAAGTGTTAAAAAGTGAATAGGGCCTAGGTTAAGTTCCTGCTTTCACATTAGTGCGATGTCAAGCTGGCGAACTAGTTAATGACACCGTTCAGTCGATGTGTGGTCGTGATGTAAAACATGAAAGACTTCCAAAAAAAGTAATGGCAGTGGCCCACGGCATGGTGTCATATGTTCCTGGCTCTGCCCCCTCTCTGCCTCACAAAATAGCTACGTGTTTGATTGGAGTAGACACTTCTGCCTTGCTGGTTTTGGCTCTTTCTATGTTTAGCTTACTCAGGCCAGTGAGCTCTCTGTTGCACTCTTGTCATTCACAATCCTGGACATGCTCTCTTTACACATGGTTATGAATGTGATGCTCAGAGTTAAGGTCATAATATTTATTTTTGCTGACAAGAATTTCAACATCTAGAGGTTTAGTGATCTGTCAATCAAACCCAGCCAGTTGACCACCACATACCTGTGTGCTTTGCCCATAAATACACTGATCTGAGTCTTTGCCTTTAACCCCTTTTTTTTTTCTGTCTTACTGCCCATTTTTACACAGGGAAGCGGAGGGCTTCAAAGAGCAAGGCAATGCCTTTTATATCAAGAAGGATTATGCAGAAGCATTCAATTATTACACCAAGGCCATAGGTAATTATCCCTTAATAATAATTTGGGTCGGTCTTCATGTTAGTCGATGGGATGATGTTGATTTTGTGTTTGCGTAAGAAATAAAAACTCTGATGAATTCTGTCTGTCCTTGATACAATAGCAACTTCATCACTTGTTTTTTATACAGACATGTGTCCGAAGAATGCAAGTTACTATGGAAACCGGGCAGCCACGCTAATGATGTTGTGTCGATACAGAGAGGCTTTAGAGGATTCCCAGCAAGCAGTGCGACTAGATAACTCCTTCATGAAGGCAGGTTGTGGGAAACAAGCCGTTACATTTTATCAAAGGGAAAATATACTCTTGTAATGTTTTACATTAAGTATTTTCTGTTCTGAGAGTTATTTTGTTTTTGCGGCACACATTTACCTTCCTCTTCTACTAATGCTTTGATGAATGATTTTCCATTTTATATATTGCTGTGGACAAGAAGGGGTATGAACATGTTCAGTTTAGCAGTAATGTGTGAAGATGGCATGAGTAAAATGTGTTGTAGTAGAAGTAGAAGAAGGAGTAGAAAATGTACTTGGAATATAGTTTTATATAGCCAATTGAAATTACTTTCACACAATCGGTCTGTTATATGCCATTTCAGAGCGATGTATCTGTTCAGCTTTTATGCATCTGTACATTTTTGTTTATAGTGATATGCGGCTCCTCAATACATACACTATAGAACATCCCTGTATGTATCTATGTATCTATGTATGTATTTAATTAGCTATTAGCCATTGCTGCATGACTACTAGCATTATGATTTTGCAGAAAGGATGAAAAGCTGTGTCACATAACAAAGAAGTAAGTTAGAGCTAGCCACGGTTTAGTTTTTACTGCTCAGTGCACAACGGATTCCCGCAACACTGCGAATTGATCACTTAAGTTTGTAAACTGTGACTCCCAAACCTACAGGGCCATCTGCGAGAGGGCAAGTGCCACCTGTCTCTTGGCAATGCTATGGCTGCCAGCCGCTGTTTCCAAAGGGTTCTGGAGCTAGAGTCTGACAACAGTCAAGCCCAGCAGGAGGTGAGTTGGCCTCAGTTCGACAGAACATGATCTGACAACTTGACAACATACAACATGATTATCCACAATCAGATAAGCTTTGGCCAAGCTAGTGCAAATGAAGCGAAAACGTCTGATACTGAGCGGTTTAAGAGGAGATCAACTACTGTTACTGTTAATTCTCAATGAGAAAGCCAAGAGCCATGTTTTAGGTTATTCACAGAAGTACTGCTGCTTGCATTGACCTGGTTTTACAAGCACTACATATGGCACAGAAGAGAAGCCAGTGGTAGCTGTAAAGCAGTTATTTGACTACTAGAGGTCTTTCATATTGTCACTAAATACCACAAATTCCTTTGTCAGCTGAAGAATGCAGAATCCATCCTTGAATATGAGAGAATGGCAGAGATTGGATTTGAGAAGAGAGACTTCAGGATGGTAAGCCAAACAGTGGTCACAATCCTACTTAGTTTTGTCAGTTGTGTGGTATGTCTCCAGTTACAGACATGTCAAAAAACACAGAATACAAGTGTGCTGTGTTTGTCTCTAGGTTGTTTTTTGCATGGACCGTGCCTTGGAAGCTGCCCCAGCCTGTCACAGATTCAAGATACTGAAGGCAGAGTGCTTAGCCCTGCTGGGGCGCTACCCTGAGGCTCAGTCTGTTGCCAGGTAGGACAACATGTTTTAAAAAAAATACTTTGATTCTCTTATTTATTTGACATTATTGGAATTTGTCACAATGATTGCAAGATTGAAGCAGAGTAAGGCACAGGGTTGTTCATGTGCTATACCAAGTCAATACAGCTCTAATTATGAGTCAGTCAGATACAACAGATGAGTAATCCTATATCCCAGAGCTCTGTAGAAAAGGAAAACCATGATATATAACATTGAATGTAGTAATTATAAATATACAGGCACATCTCTAAAGCCAGAATAAATTATTAAAGGTAAGGCTCTGACTGCATCGGGCTTACTGTGATTTCTTGGGCTGACTCATCTTTAGTTAATACAAGTATGCCAGGTTACTGAAATCCATGGGCTTTAACACCTGATGCTTTTAAATATATATAAGTTTAAACTTAAACTCGCAATTAAAGCTCTGTAAAAATGGCACGTCTCTAAAATTGATCACCCCACCTTGTTAATTGATGAAGATTCTCTGGGGAGTGCCTTTAGGAACTGTGTGGAGCTTGCTCTGTTTTCAGAGAGATGGGGAAAGTCATACTCACAATTTAAAGCTAGAAAAACTTTGGCTGGTGCTCTCCTTCCATTATGGATATGTCTTCCCACATTTACGATCATTCAATACATCATTGCTGGGAAGTATATATTCCATAGATGCTGACACAAAATCCCATATTTTAGATGTAATTTGTCTAGTTTCTTTTCTGTTTATCCAGTATTTCCTCTATGTTGATTTTGGAGCGGCGGCCTGCCACTGTTAAATTTCTGCCGCCACGGTATCAGAAATGGGGCAGACGCACAATGTAGTCACGGTTGCCTTTTGAATGATCCTGCCGACATATTGCACCCCCGTGTTCGGACGGGCCTGCCCCCACTGCTAAAAAAAATCCTAGAGGAAACACTGTTATCAATGCATTAATGTTCATTATTTGCTCCCATTCAGTGATATTCTGCGAATGGACTCCACTAATGCAGATGCACTGTACGTGCGTGGTCTTTGTCTGTATTATGAGGACTGCATTGACAAGGCTGTCCAGTTCTTTGTACAGGCCCTGCGTATGGCTCCTGACCATGACAAGGCTCGGCTGGCTTGCAGAGTGAGTAATTCAGTAGATTAGAGATAGAGTTTTATAAGTCAAGTAATGTACATTGGTTGTGTTTTACTCTTAAAGCGAATGTTAACTAAAAACCTATAACACTGTGGTGTTTTTGTCATCTGTTTGATTGATTTTATTGTTAACGTATCCCAGAGTAGCGTTTAAGGTTGTCCTGTGTATTGTCTTCCCAGAATGCCAAAGCACTAAAAGCCAAGAAGGAGGAGGGGAACAAGGCGTTCAAGGAGGGAAACTTTGAGGCAGCCTATGAGCTCTACTCTGAGGCACTAACAATAGACCCCAACAACATCAAGACTAATGCCAAGCTGTTCTGTAATAGGGCCACTGTTGGATCTAAGGTGAGCAACATGCACACGAGAGATACCACTGGTTGCATCAACATCTGACATGTTGTGTTCAGTGGTCAACTGTAAAATGAACCTTAGCCTCCTTGGTGGCTATTTGCTAAAAGTCACTGAGGGCTAATGTGTTGCTCCAAGAGTATTCAAGCACCCCAGCTTTTTTTTAGCTTTGTAAATATTGCAAACGAGAAAAACTACAAAAAAGGAAAGAGGAAAGGGAAAAGTGACTTGTGTCTGGAAAGAAAGGACAGCAGAGGAACACAATAAAACATACCTGACCTAGATAATCCAATGCGTGTTGCAGGCATACAGACCCGTCATCACACATGCATTACACTCACACACCCCCTCATTTATAGGGCTTTTCCATTGGCACTTTTGGCTGTGCCTAGTCAAACTATGCTGTACTGATTTGCATTTCCATTACCAGTTTAAACGCGCCACGCTGTGCCTGAGATGAACTTTCTCCGGAGTAGGGCCAAAGCTTGCCCCGACCCACCTCCAGGCGGGTTGCGGTGGCACCTTGCCGACCATGGCCAACCTGCAACTCTAAAAACAAGTCTAGATACTGCAGGAGGGAGGGTGACTGTTTGCTTTAGAACGTAACTACTGTGAAACAATAAGAATATAACATATTTATTTGATTTACTGCTTTGTTTTCACTAACGTCGGCCCCTCTCTCTATTCAATCTTGAACTCTCTCGACCATTGCTGCTTTCTGTGGCTGTAAAAACACACCTTCAAGCGGGAAGCCCTATTGTAATTGAAATGCAAATCCCTGTCGCGCCGGGTTGGTGCGCCAAGTCAAGCCAAGCCAGCGTGTGTATGGAAAAAGGCCTATTAGTTATTCATGCATTAGCACAGACGTTTGCAAAGTTCTCATTCTGTCGCTCTGACAGTATAACGTTTTTTGGTATCTTTGCCATGTAAAAAGAAGTAGGCCACCACTGTTCTCTCTCGGTTTCTGATTGCATGGTCACACTTTTATCTTTTTCTTTGAAAGCTGAAGAAACTAGAACAGGCCATTGAAGACTGCACGAAGGCCATTAAACTGGATGAGACCTACATCAAGGCCTATTTACGGAGAGCACAGTGGTATGTCCAGGTTTTCTAACGTGGTTGTTAACAGAGACAGTAAGTTATAATGTTTTTTGCTTGGACAAACAAGACAGCATCATCATCGTTATCTGAGCTCATATTTTACTGTTCAAACTGGCTAACTGCATACTCTGTTACAGCTACATGGACACAGAGCAGTATGAAGAGGCAGTGCGAGACTATGAGAAGGTTTACCAGACAGAAAAGACTAAAGGTGAGAAACAGACTCCTCTATGGTGGCTCCGCTGACACAGCTTTTAGCACAGATATTTCTGCTTAATTGTTTTATTTTGTTTTTATTCTCTAGAACACAAGCACCTCCTAAAAACTGCCCAGCTGGAGTTGAAGAAAAGCAAGCGGAAAGATTACTACAAAGTGCTTGGGGTGGACAAAAACGCCACAGAGGAGGAGATCAAGAAAGCTTACCGCAAACGGGCGCTTTTACATCACCCAGGTGCTTAACTGAATGCAACAGTTCTACCTAACAGTGGCGGTATACAGGTGTGCCTCGGCCCAACTGACTTTTGTGCTTTTGTGGTGTTATTCCCCCCTCGTGTCTTTTCCCGGCAGACCGTCACAGCGGAGCTAGTCCTGAGGTACAGAAGGAAGAGGAGAAGAAGTTCAAGGAGGTGGGCGAGGCTTTCAGCGTGCTTTCAGACGCAAAGAAGAAGTCTCGTTACGACAGCGGTCAGGATCTGGAGGACGACGGCATGAACATGGGAGGTCAGCACTTGGTCAAGCCTCGGGGTGGGAGGTCTCAGGGGTGAACGAAATAAAGTACGAGTCATGTCTGAGCTGTTTTTATTAAGAGAACCTGATGTTGTTGATTCTTTTTGTCTCCACCAGATTTTGATGCCAACAACATTTTCAAGGCATTCTTTGGAGGCCCAGGAGGTTTTAGTTTTGAAGGTATTTTATGTGGTACTCTATGTATTCAAACAAAAAACTAAAATCCCATTTACATTTCGAGAATACATTACTTATTTACTTCTTTCTTTCAGCATCTGGACCAGGAAATTTCTTCTTCCAGTTTGGTTAACTGGAGGATTCTTCTACCTAAACAGTTACTACATCAGGACTTTTCAACAATGTCAACCCCCTGACCCACCACCCATATTTAATGACTGACTGATTGCAAGTCAGGTTCTTGTCTATGCCATTGACTGAATGAATGCAACCCAAAAAACATGCAACAAACGATTTAAAGCTGGTAAAGCAAGGACACCAAGTCGTCTCAGAATGAGTTGATAGTGTTACTGGTTTTGGATTTGGTTTTCTTCTTCTCAAGAATGAAACAAACTTTAGAGTCAGTAATGGCTAGCAACCCTTTGTCCAAATATTTTCTCAATTTTTGAGATAGGAGAGATTGTGCAGCTATTGTATCAGAGCTTTTAGGGATCCATGCTGGAAGTGACATCCTGGGGAAACTCTAGAGATGCAGCTGAGCATTGAGCAAGCTATTATCCGGCTCCTCTCAACTTACTGCTGAGCAGGTATTCTCTGCATGAAAGTTAACAACTTGCTTAATGATTTCTGAAGAAAATCACTAAGCAAGCAGCACCTCCCCCCCCTTTTGAAGAATCTGTCAGACAGACAGTTGGCTGCTACGAATTCGCACTGAAAACTGCCTCCTTGTCATAAGCCAATAGAAGCACTTGAGCATTTTTTTAAATTTCACAACAGCTGGAGCGTAGACCTACACGTACAGTACAGTTGAAGCACACTAGAAAGATGGCAGTGGAGACAGCTGTGCTGGCTTTGTTGCCAGCAAAGTCCTCTTCCCTCTTGTTGTCACAAGTTTTATGTTTGATGTTGCCATTCACAGATTGCTGCATTGTACATTTTACTGGAATGTAAAGTGTTGATTTGTGATGATAGTTGATTATTTTTTCCATTTTTTTTTTATTTTGATATGTATATTTATTGTAAATTTGCTGTCTGATAGAACCACCGGTGTAAGATGAGGACACTTTTCTCTTACGTAAAAGTTTAAAAGGGGCACAGATTATGAGCAACCCTTTTGACACAAATTCAGGAAGTTAATTGTTTTGCTTGGTCTGCATGAAATTTTTGCGCAGAAATAGATTATGCTCTGTGTGTTTTTTGACTGTGATGCAAGCTGTCTAATTTTACTCAATGCAACAGATAGGAATAAAAATAGAACAAACATGACATGTTATAGGTGTTTGCCATTGTCTAAGAAAGTGAGGCACTGTGTGATGATGGAAAACTGGTAGTGTTCAGTTACTTCCTGATGAGTGTGTGGCTCTCTTTGTGCAACTTCATGAAGAAAAAGAAAAGCGTCCTCATCTTTGCTCTAATTGTTTTTGCCCTTATGGTGAAACCATCCTCTCTTTATCCTTGAAAAGTACCAGCCATGTCAATAAAGTTGGCCTCCTCTGGGTTTCCCCTAAAGTGTTTTTTCTTTTGTTTTAGTGGCATAGTATTCTAGTTAATTATATCAATATTAACAGTAGGTTTTTTAATTAATAAATATATATAAAACTAAATTAAACTGGATTCAGAGTTGCACTAAGCGGTGCGAGCAGAAGATGGCGCTGTTTCCCCGCTCTCGGTTTGTTAGTGTGGTTGCTAGGATACCAGTTGACCGGAGATGTTAATGTGTTTACATAGTTAAGGTGTTTGCAAGTGCTGTTTTCACCAAAAAAAATTTGCTTAAAAATGTCAGACATGGACGGAGACCAAGACGGTCAGAAGCCAAAGGGCGTATTCTCCACTTTAATGGCCGATGGGGATTGGCTGTACCTTAAAGGAGAGTATAAAAAGGCTATAGACAGCTACACAACGGTAAGCAGCTAACAAACTGAAGCTCAACTATGGCGATAACATTTTGGTTTTGCAATACATTATCCAGGGTTGTCAGTGCAACGTTTAAATGCAGCTCTTTGTTTCAGGCACTGACTGTAAAGCCTGGCGACAAGACCTGCTTCGTCGGCCGATCCAAATGTCACCTGAAGTTGGGTCAATCTGAAGACGCTTTAAAAGATGCAGAGGCTTCTCTCAAAGGAGACAATACATTTTTCGAGGTAAACAGAGATGTTGGTGTCATTAAATAAAAAAATAAAAATGCATGTCTTGTTTATACTAAATTACAGCCCTCGAGTCAGAAAGAAGGCGTAAACATGGGATAATGTGTGAGATGTATTTATTTTTCAGGGGTTGTACCAGAAGGCGGAGGCATTGTACTACATGGGAGAATTTGAATTTGCACTGGTGTTTTACCACAGAGGACAAAAGTTACGTCCACAAATACAGGAGTTCAGACTGGGCATCCAAAAAGCACAGGAGGCCATAGAAAACTCTGTTGGCAGTAAGTAATTCAGTGCTATTTCACGGTGTAGGAAAATCCTCACTCCTATACTCTAAACCATTTGTACTTCACTGGCTTCTTCTAGGCCCTCCCTCTGTGAAACTGGAGATTAAGGGAGACCTGTCATTTCTCCAGAAAGATGAAGAGGTGAGTCTTTGTTCAGCTCCTCTTTAATAACCCAGGAAACCTTGCAGGTAGAGCTGTTTTATAGTAATTCTTTACTTTTCTAACCAGTGGCTTACCATAGACTTTACCGTTTGTTTGTAAAGTTCAAACCTTGCCTCCCATACGATGTCTGACAATATTATGTTTCTGAATGACTGACTGACTGCTAAAGAGGGCACAGCCGATTACTGCTATTCAGCATCTGACAACGGAGAAAAAAAAGCTGACCCAGAAGACACCTAAGAATGAGAGGACAACCAAACAGCTCCTGGGAGAGTTTTACAGTGACAAGAAATATCTGGAAAACCTGCTTAAAGATGATGGTATGATCTTATGTCACTTAAGAGATAATCTATGTTTTTGTTTTTATTATTTTAATTCATTTCTCCTCCAGTCTTTGCTTTTCAATATTTAAACCCACCTACAATCACATTTTTCATCTTTAATGGACTAATATTTAAAACTGTTACATAATGATCTTCAGACTTGGTAAAAAGTAAGACAAAGGGTGGGGAGCGACTGCAGGACGTCATTCAGACCTGCCTCACATACCTTGACACTTGCACCGAGTTCTGGAGCCAGGAGAAACCTATTTGTGCACGGGAAAGGGAGCGTAAGCTCATGCAGCAAAAATGTAGCAAGCCCCGCCGTAGTGCACCCACTGAACCCGCTCAGTTTCTGCTGAAGAGCCTGGACGATATAGACGAAGGTAAGGCACGCTTCTGAGTGAACGTGTAGCTTGGTGCTTTCCTTTATAGCCCACAAAATGCTTACTGTGTGTTCTTCTGTCATAGAGTTGACATCTGGAAATGCAGAGGGTAGTCTGAAGAAGGCGGAAGAAGTCATGAAGATAGTGCAGAGATGGTCGGAGAAAGATGTGCCTAATAAGAAAGAGGTTTTGGGCAGCCTGCACAGTTGTATTGGAAATGCCTTGATCGACCTGGGAGACATGGACAAAGCGTTAGACCATCATCGGAAAGACTTGGAGTTGGCTAAACAGTGGTGAGAATTACAGAAATTACACAACAGGAGGGAATGTGTTTCACAAAATTGTATCAAATGTTGAGTAATCTTTCTTATCAACAGCAAACTCTCAGATGCAATGTCCAGAGCTCTGGACAACATTGGGAGGGTTTATGCCCAAATTGGACAGTTCTCACAGGCCATTGAGTTGTAAGTAAATAATTAAATAACAGCTGCACTATAATATATATTAGGTCTTCTGCAGAACAAGTTGTTTTGATGGTAATGTCGTATAGTCAGACCTCTTTTAGCGAGCATTGTTTTACATTGAGGTGTGACTATTGAAGATTACTTGATTAATGATTGGTTTCTTCATTTTCTTTTCTCTGTATGTTTTCGACATCAGCTGGGAGAAGAAGATTCCTTTGGTCCGCGGTGGTCTAGAGAAGACCTGGTTGTTTCATGAGATTGGTTGGTGTTACTTGGAGCTTAGTCGCCACGAAGAAGCCCGAGATTATGGCGTCCGTTCGGTTGATGCAGCTGACGAAATTGCTGATGAGAAATGGCAGATAAATGCCAATGTTTTGGTGGCACAATCAGAATGTAATTATGTTTTTTTTTGTTTCCTTTTACTTAATTATTAGAAATATTCTAATGTTTACAACGTGTGACATGTCTGCTTATTTGCTGTTGATGTAGTACAAACTAAAGATCTCTGTCAATTCCTTTCTGTTTCATCTCAGTGAAACTTGGAAACTTTGAATCTTGTGTCTCCCACTTTGAGAGAGCCTTGACGCAGGCCAAACTGCAAGAGAACGATGCTGCAGTGAATGCCATTCAGCAGGTTGTTGTCATATGCTTCCCTTTGCCTTCTTTTTAGTTCCAATCAAAAACATTGACATTTGATTGGATTATTGACATTTATCTTTCTGCTTTTAGGCTCTTGATGAAGCAAAGCAACACCTGCCACAGTAAGGATGTCCTACTGAACTACGGAAGACCACAATCATCAAATGAAAGTGGAACAAAATGAATACCAATAAAAGTCTTCTCTCTCAAATGTGCAACTGAGACATTTGAGTTTTTATGAATGAATGCAGAAATGCATGCTCATGCTTTATGATGAAAAACACAGCTTGATATAGTTCGATATAGAGGATCAGTATTTTGACTTTTGGATGTGTGAGTTGATGTGATATTACTTATATACATATTTCTTCCAGTATAAATATATTATTACAGTGGCTGATAAGACCCAGTCTTTAATCAGAGGTCTTTTGGACTAACTTTCTTGAGTACTAACTTTCAGTCCAGCATGCAACACAAACATACACCAGGCACTGGATCTCAGTGTGGTTCTTTATAAGAGTTACAGACTTGCCTACAGAAGTAAGAAATATGCATATGGGGAAGTGATTCGAAGTTCTATTAAAAAGTCAACGTCTCTCATTTTCAACGTCTCTGTAGAAAATGTGTCACTGAATATACAAAATACAGAGGAATTGTATTACTTTTAACACTTTTATATACATACTGAAACCTGCCAACCCTGAAGTCCTTTAGCCCTATACATAGCTGTACTTGCTGCAGGGAACTTCCCCTTGTCACACCCACTATAACATCTGTCACCACCAGGCATGCATGGTGTAATTTACACACTCTGCTTCCAGAAGGGGCTACACTATCAGTGCATTGTTTGTGTGTAGATCGGCGACAGTATAATTAACGTTTATGAGAATTGTGTTACATTTTGAGGAAATGTCCCTGACACATTGCCTTTTGTATCTTGTGTCTTTTTGTCTGTGTGGCCTACTTTTTGGGATATGATTTACACCTGCTCAAGAGGTGTGTGTCTTCACACTGAATGTTTCTCATATAAATAAACAGGCATGCAGTATAGACTGAACACTAATCTAATGTTCAGCACAGATGTACACCATCAGTTATAAACTTACAAACAAATGCACAACAAAACAACAAAACAAGTAAGCAAAAACAAAAAAGTATATACATTTAATAAATAAAATGTATTTTAAAAATAGCATAGTACCAGACAGGAGTTTATTAATTTAAATCATTCAGATATAGTTTGGAGAACATTTCAACTGAAAGAAAAAACACGAAAAACTTATTTGTATTAGGTTTTATTTTTTCCATGAAAATGGGGAAAGTAATAACCCCTCCTGATTAAATATGAGCTTATATTATCCCTACTGTCTGTCACTATATCCTGTTTATTTATTTATTTTTAAATCAACACAAATTAATATATATCATAGATATATAACACATTATTATTGTTATGTAGTCCTTTTAAAAAAAACCTTGGTGGCGTCCTTCCGGTCTTCAGGGGCGTGTCCGTGGCCACGCCCAGTTGCGCGCTCCCGGGGATTTTCCTTTTGAAGCGGGTGCATGTGTGTGCCAAGGATTGCGTTGTCATTGTATCCGGAGAGAAACGCGTGGTCAGCGGCACCACCGACAGCTCCACTGCAGCGTAACTGGTAAGCTGAGATAATGGCAAACAAAAGCCCTTCGTACAGTATGCTACATCTCTATCATATTTTTTTCTATCAGCCTTAAAAAAAAAAAAAAAGAAAACAAGTTGCTCCAGTAACGTGCAGCGACTTATATACGGAAAGAAAAAAACCATGAAAGTTGTTTAGACGTGGCGCTGCAGCTGGTGATGTTATAGCCAGATTCAGACTGCCAGGCTAAATTGTTTTTGTCTGGCGTGCTAACGTTAGGTGCACGCCACTCCCCGCCTGGCTGGCCACATTGTGCTTGTTAATACACATTTATTTTTTTTGCCTTCAAACTATATCGAGTTTCTGTGTTTAAAACAACATTTGAGCTCACTTGGACGCGACGTAAGACATTTATTTTGAAAATTCCTTTTATTATTTAAGTGAATGTGTAGCGTATTTCGTCCAAACTTGCTTTAAACAACAAACAAAACAAAACAAAAAAAAAAAACCCAGCTCCTGTTCACTCACTGCGCCATTTACTGTATCTTCCTTGTATTACGGATGATGTTCAATATGAAAGTGTTCATATTTGCCAAATTTGCATCTGTTAGGTTTCGGTTATGTTTGTGTCTGGGAAGAGGAAAAAAAAAAAATGTGTTTAATAATTAGCCAGTTTATCTCTACCTCTACGTTGGGTTGTGTTTGTGAGCGCTTCCCCTTCTGTCTCATGACACGATGTGGTTTCACACATCTGTTCAATCTAGTGTTGGGTAACAAACCTTTACACTGATATCTGAAATAAGCTGCCACACGGTGCAGGGCGCTGTGCTGTGAACTAACCCTCACTTTTTCCGCGATGCCCCATTTCCTTAAGTACCCTTTGTCTGTTTGTTGGCAAGATTTGACGCAGTTAATCTGGCAATGCAAGCTTTGAATACAGTCTCTTGCAGTCATGCTTGTGTAAACTACTGTCTTTGTGTGTTTTTTTTTTTTTAAATAAATGGAAATAAAAAAATAAAAAAATGGCTGAACTGTGGCCAAAATTGTGCCACCACCCCTATTATATGTTCAAGAGTACAACACCCCTGATCAAAGATGGACATTATAGCTGAAGGTTATTGCAGGGCCATTGTATTGTATTGTATATGATGTGTTCACCTCCTCTGTTGCCAAAATCTATTGAAAAATGACGTGCAGTGCAACCACATCCCCATCCCCAACAACTCTACTTTCTTAAATCTGGCGTATTGACTAACTTCCCGTTTGAGACATAATGACTGCAGTCCTCATAAAAGTATTTGATTTTACCCTATAAGGGCATGTGGTCTGAAATAATTCTGTAAAAAGTGAGGGTATTTAAGAGTGTATTCAAGTTTTTTTTTCATGTCAAATGAATTTTTCTCAGTGGCTGTTTTTTTTTTTTTTTTTGTAATTATTTTAAATAGTTAAATACAATATGCATGTTTTATCTAAATCAATTATTTATGTTTAATAATGGGGCACTCTACACAGCCCAGGATAAAACTGGATCCAGTTCATGTCAGTCAGGTTTTATTTAGAGAGATGTTGTTGCACCAAATCTTTTATATAAGAATAATGCACTTCTCCAGCTTTAGTATGTATCCAAATTACCTTTTTATGGCCCAATTTGATGAGTGTTGAAGTAATTGAGTAAGATCCTGCACTCTGTAGGGTGTAGTGGCTGGGGACAAAGTTGGGTTCAGTCACCATTGGTCTAAATGAACAATTTCTCTTTCTTTTTATTTGTATAAGGTACGTGGTGGTGTTTAAAGTCAGACTTTAAGCCAGGACATGGATACTGAAAAGAGCGTCGAGGTTTTAGATGCGTCAGACGCTCCACAGCCAGAGGAGACTGTAATGGAAAAAGAGGTTGTGTCAAAAATGGAGACACCAGAGGAATCCACAGAGCCTGAGAAGCCACCAGCTGCTGTTGAAGAGACTGAGCAGATGGCAGTGAATGGTCACGATACAGACGTCATAAACTTAAAAGAAACAGAAGAGTTGATTGTGACAGAAACTGTTACTCTGGCTGAGGAAAAAACAGAAATAAAGATTGAGGACATCTTGCCCGCAGGAAAATCTGAAATGGAGTCTGTGTCTGATGCGGTGGCACCACCAGAACCAGATGAGTCATCTGAAAAGATCTCTGACCCAGTTGCAGCTTTAGACACAGAACCAAAAAACATCCAGCCTGTGCCAGAGAATGCCCCAGAACCTTTGCCTGTGCAAACACCTCTGCCAGAGAGTGCCCCTGAACCGGAGCCAGAGAAATTGGCAGAATCGGTTCCAGAGGCTGAACCACAAGAGCAAACATTACCTGAACCAGCCGCGCTGCAGCAACCAGTGGATGCACAACCACCCAGCAAGGAAGAGAAGGCGCCGGAACAAGTGAAAACTGAGACTACAGAATTGAAGACTACAATGGATACTGGAGCAGGAACGGTTGTCAAAGAGGGGGTGGCAGAAAGTAATGTCGCAGCCGAGCCTACAAAGGAGGGGGAAGAAGAAAAACCAGCAGGAACTGTGTCGGTGGCAGAAGTTTCCCCAGAAAAGCCGACAGAGGCTGTGACTTTAAAAGAGGAGGCATCAGCTGAAATTGAAAATGTGAAACCTGCAGAGGACAAGAAAGAAGCTGAACCAGAAAAATCAGCTGAGTCTGATTCTCCGAAGGGAGCTGAGGCAGCACCAGAAGCTGAAAAGAATGATGCAGAGCTTCAAAAGGAAGAGGATACAGTCCCCGTGTCTGGCTCCCTGTCCTTTGCCTTCCTGGAAAGAGAACAGACCAAAGACGCCCTGCGGACCTCGCGTACCCTTCTGGTCCTCAGAGGCCTTCCAGGAAGCGGTAAAAGCTTCTTGGCACGTGCCATAGCTGATGCCTACAAAGACCACTGCTCTGTCATCTGTGCTGATGACCATGGCGTGAAGCCAGAGAGTCCAGAATCATCTGTGGACGGGTACAAGGCTCTGGATGAGGCTGTGTTGGCCGGCTGCAGTGCAGGAGCAGCCTCCCCTCTGCTGATGGTGGTGGATGACACCAACCACACCCAGGATCGGCTGGCCCGCCTGGGGGAGATTGCCGAACAGCACCATCTCGTTGCGGTCTTTTTGGAGCCACGCACTGAATGGAGCAGAGATGTACCGCAGCTGACCAAGAAGACCAAGCGCGGACTAGATGAGGCCCAACTGGAAGCCATGAGAGGTCCACTTGAGGAAATGTCCCTTCCTTATTACTATGGCTGGTTTCTTCTCTCCTCGGTCCAGGACAAGGTTAGGTGCACATCAATGGACTTCCTGAAAACGCTGGACACCTTGGAGGCCTTCAAGAAACACTTGATTGACTGTGAGTGTATTTAAAGTTGTTTCATTTACTACAAAGGTAAATCCACCGGTGAGAAACGCATCTTTTTAAGCAGCGTTAATGTCCAAAGTTATTGCCATGACTAAGATACACCTGATCTTTCCTTCTGTTTGCAGTCACAGGGAAAGCTGAGAAGGAGGTGGATTTGGAGCAGTACTTTCAAGCCAAAGGGACCCTCCATTGCACTACAAAATTCTGCGACTATGGAAAAGTAGAGGGTGCCAAAGAGTATGCACAGAATCCAGTAAGTACATTTCAAAATGGTGGCTGCGTGTGTAAGTAGGCATTATCATTTATCACTTTACTTTTTTATGCATTGAGAGAACCCTTCCAATAGAATTAATAAGTTACTATTTATGATATTTCCTTTTTTTTTTTTCACTCTCCAGGCTGTCAAAGATTTCTATGGTTCTGTGTTCGAGCTGTCGCTGAGCGCTCTCTTTGTCACTCCTCGCACTGTTGGTGCCAGAGTGTCCCTCACAGAGGAGCAGCTTTTGCTGTGGCCAGCTGACGCCGAAAAGGAGGTACAGTCTGCTGCCTCCCTGCCTCTGGGGAGCCGCGCCCACGTTACTCTAGGATGCGCAGAGGGTGTTGAGCCAGTTCAAACAGGTCTAGATCTGCTCCAAATCCTGGCCCTGCAGCAGGAAGGCCAGCAGGGGGAGCCCGTCGAGGAGATGGAGCTCGGCTCGCTGACCTACTACGGCGAAGGAAGGTGGCTGCTCAGTCTCAGAGAGCCCATCTGCACCCCAGCCTGCTTCTCCAGCTTCTACGGGTGCAAGGAGCTCGAGCAGGCCAAAAAAGAACCTGAGAAGAAAAAGAAGCAAAAGTGCACCATACTGTAAATGGCAATGGGAATGTGTGGCTGGGATGACTGGTGAATTAAAACTTAGGCTTACTCTGTGCAAGGTTTGTGTGTTTGTGCAGTGTTTAGGGTTTCAGTTATAGCCACCCTAAATCCACAAGCTGTGTGCCTTTTTTTTTTTTTTACTGTTGATTTGCACCACAACCCAAGATGCCTTCAGTCCAGTTAGGCTTGTTAACATTGAGTATCTTGTTTCACATATCGGTGCCAGAGTCACAGTACCTGGCTATTTGCTGAGGTGTTATTAGCTGCAGTTTTAGACTAAGGTAGTAATAGCCTACTCCCACAGCTCCACAATTATCTGAAACTTAGATTTCCTCTTCTATTCATGTCAGTGTCTCTCAGTATTCAGATATACAAAAACTAGGTACTTTCATTGCATGCATCCGAGGTTAGCGGTATCGACATATTAACACATTTCTGACCTGCTAAAAGTACCTCTGCCGCTTCAACAGAAGTTGTCTTGTGTTTCCTTTGACTTGTACGTTAAAAAAAGATTAGCTGTCATTTCTGTGGAAAGTGTGTGAGTGTGCGCATCATAGGAAGTAATTGTTACAATAGCATATGGGCCAAAGTTATCTATTTGATTAAGTGTATTAGAATGAATGTCATTTATAGAGGTCCTTCCTGGTAAAATCTTTGCACTGTGCATAGTTTGAAAGGGAGAATGCTGGTAAATTTGGTATTTGTTTCAGCAGCTTGCACTTAGTAATTATCAAATGCTGTGAATCCAAGTCCATGTTTTGCAATCTTTTCTACTGCGCAAGACTGCACCATTGATCCTTTTATCCTCTTTGAACAGCACTTCATGTATTGCATTTCGATTTGTAACCTCTGTGACTGTAATTTTTTGAAGGGCAAGTCCTACTTTGTGTAGCTCTTATGAATCACTATTTTTGCACTTGTTTTGTACACTTAATAAAAAAGAACATGCTTTGCTCCAGTAATGTAATTGGTTATTTCTATGAATGCAGGGGGGTGATAAAACTGGGGACAGTTTATCTGCACATGGGCATTTTCTCACAGCGTGGACATGTAGTTGAAGGAGTGAGCCAGCAGAGGGCACTCATCCCATTATTAGTGCTGGTTAAAACATTTTGTGGGGTGATGTGTTTATACATGTAATCCCAGTTAGTGTTTCTGTTTATTGTGTCAGGATCAGTTTCAACACTGTGTAAATAATGTATTTTCAAACCTTGTGCCACAGACTTGGATTGCACCATTTCTCTGATCTCCCTACAGTTTGCACTTTCATAATCTGGCGCAGTAAAAATTCAGTAAACTTCATCAGACAGTTCAGCTGCCAAAAAGTGATACCTCTTCAGAGCGTAGGTTGTAATAACCTCACTCCATTTCTGACCCATCTAGCACACCTCTACTGTAATTCTTTTATCCTGTTTTGCATTCACAAATGATAAAAATTAAATTGCTTTAGTGCTTTATATATAATGGTGATTGTAATTATTATATGGTGACTTGTGCATGTTATCAGGGCGGGGTTGCCACACAGTCTACAACAAATACTACTCCTGCTGACTGGAAACATACAGTGTTATACTTTTTATACTTAAAAATCTATTTCAATCTACATATAGTACACCTGAACCACTTTTTACTAAACTTTCAAGTAAGCAGTCTTTCAAATAAAATTAAAAAATTAATTAACAGGCTACAAGTGCTCTCCACTACATCATCCCAACTAAAAATAGTTGCTTCAGGTCAAGGACAGGTAAAAGGCCATGAGCTGGCTCTACATGTGCAGGTCGGTGGGTCTACAGACATCAACTTACCTCCTCATTGGCTGCTGTATAGATAAAGAACAATGTCAACCAATCAACATCAACGGCCGATAATTGCCCTGTTTTCTCTGTGAGTGTGTGTGTGTGTGTGTGTGTGTGTGTGTGTGTGTGTGTGTGTGTGTGTGTGTGAGAGAGAGAGAGAGAGAGTTTAGTGTACAAACTAATGATACCTTCAAGTACTCTACGAAAACTTGGTGTGGTTTTGTCCAATGATTTTATAAGAAATTTGAGGAAAGTTCAAGTGCGTTTGATAAAAATGATAACAGAGTGGTGGAAGTATATTCAGATCCTGTAGTAGCACATTATAAAAATAGAAAAAGTAAAAATCCTGCATCCAAAATGCAACTAGTGAAAGTATACAAGCAATGTTAGAAGAGTGTGAATACTCAATGCAGACAAATGGCGAGAGAGTATTATTTTATATTGTATAATTACTGATGCATCAATGTCTAGCATTTTACTTTTGTAGCTGGTCACGAATGAGCTATTTTTAACTATATATACTATTATACCTATTAACAGACTATCACACTTAATTATATGTATATGCTCCTCGTGTTTGTAATCTTAATTTGTAAAGTAACTTTAGTGAGTAGCTATAGCTGTCAAGTAAAAAAAAAAATACTTAAAATGTGTAGTTGAGTACAGTACTTGAGCTGTAAAGTATTTAGTTACATCCCGCCATTGCAAAACTGATGTGTCAGCGGCACATTAACAATTATTTCCATTCAGGTCACATAATAATGCAATTCTGCACATAATGATACGTCTTCTAAGCATACAGATAATTAAATCTGATCTCTATATATAAAAAAATATATACATATTTGCCCCTCAGTTTGTGTGCCTCGCATCGCGTGGTGCCAATTATTCCTACTGTCTGTGAAGGCAGCAAAAGAGCATGGTGTGGAATGAGCCAATAGGAGCCCAGGAAACATGAGCCAAGCCTATCGGCAGATGGGCGATGGAGACAAAACTCACAGGAAGCCCCACTCTCCGGCACCTCTGGTTCCCATAGACGGCAGTAGTGGAGCAGCGGGGCCGAGAACAAGCACACATCCAACTACAACACACTTCCAGAGCCGCTAAAGCAAGAAAAAACAACTAAACAAGGTAAATTACTTATTGTTTTTAAAATATGTGTTTACTTTTTTTTTTTTTGCTGCTTATTTCTCAGTCTCTCTGTCTTTCTCTCTCTCTCTCTCTCTCTCTCTCTCTCTCTCTCTCTCTCTCTCTCTGTGTGTGTGTGTGTGTGTGTGTGTGTGTGTGTGTGTGTGTGTGTGTGTGTGTGTGTGTGTGTGTGTGTGTGTCAAAAAATATAAAACAAGTTGAACTGCTCAGTCCACCACAACCAGTATTCAACCTGAACTCTTGCTAGAAGGTGGTTATCAAGAAGTTTGAGTTCTCACTGAAAGTTTCCTCAGAATAGTGGAGAGGATATTTGCAAAAAAAAATTGAATTGCTGTCTGACCGGTTTGTGAATGAATGAGTTGGGTTCTCTCAGGGATCTATGACTTAATACCTTCTGCAAAGTCAGGCATGTTTTTATTCTGGAAGTTAGTAGGTCAGTTAAAAGTGAATATGGAGCTGCAACTTCCATCTTTTATGGCATTTTTGTTACTTCACTGTCTGATTTTAATTTAGTGATTTTAAATTTGTGCCTGATTTTGCCTCCCTCCAGCAAATCCATCATCCCCTGTTACTGTGCGTCATCTGAACCAGTGTTATTGCTGTTGTAATGGTGATATTTAACACCTCTGGCAGGTCACTTACTCAGAGAAAGTGGATGATATATGGAAACCTGGACGAGTTTTGGATAAACCGTGTTTGCCTGGCCCGGTGGAAGAAGCGCCGTGGTGACTCAGGGACATCAATGATCAATAGTGAGAAAGGTCCATGACGGTCCCATTAATCCATTTAAGGAATGGCTGCCAGGGCCGCAGCCTGGAGCAGGGAGTCCTGTTTGAGCCAACATCAGGGCTTTTAGCCTAATGAACCACAAAGAAGATACAGACAGAGCAGGTACATCATCCCAGCAAGGTTACACGATGCACAGTGGTTGTTAAGCTTTGATTTAGGAAATATGGAGAATTTGTGAAAGCCTTGGTATTTTACACCCTTAATTAACTACATTTATAAGGGCATTGTGGTAAGTTTGAATCCACCAATAGATCAAAACACTTTGGGTCAGAGCAAAAGCCGGCAAGATGTACAGTATATTCTTGCTCATCAGACAGGGCGACGACAAGCTGCAAGATTTCCGCGTGGAGTTTAATATTGGCCTGTAAGGGGCATTAATGGTGTTTGCTCTTGTGTTTAAAGGGAATGTCAAACATCAGGCATCAGTGAAAGAAATAGGATTTTAGCTGTTGTGATGTAAATCTAAATTACAGTGTAATGATTCCACGTCGTGTCTCCTTTAGAAAAGATAAAGAAACCGCCGTATAATGAAAAGACGGAGTCGATTTTATATGAGAGTTCTCGTTGGAGGGACACACCTTTTCTACGTGGCTTTGGTCAGGTGCTAATAAAAGCAGTAATGGTGCATTCTGTCGTAGGGATAAAAGATTAAATATCACTGTTTTTAGAAAGTCGTAAACTGTGTGTGTTGGTCACGTAGGAGATGACCTCATTGAGATTATGGCCAAAGTGTAAAGGTCACAACTCCTCCCCTTGGCTGTAAAATTTATAGATGCTATTACAAGTTATCAAATTTCTCCTTTTACTTCCTTGACAGTCAGTCCGGTTAATGCACCAAAATAAATCTATTTCTTATACCTGGCTGTGTCTATGCTGTTTTCTAGTGCTGCTAATAATTGGTCACATCAGATTAGTCGGTCACTTACAAGGATTATTTTTTTCATGCACTTGTATGCTGGTGGCTGGAGACCAGCTCTGCACGCTCTCCACTCTAGCTCCAGAAGCAATCAGATTGTTTGAGTGGCAAATCAGTGCCTAGTATCTCATTAGTGTGCAGGTCAAACAAACTGAGGCTAATCCTGTTGGATTTAGCTCCACTGGGTTCACTGTCTGGGTACAGCGTGAGACAATCTGACTGATTCTGAATCTGTAGTTAGTATGTAATCTGATTTTCCAGCAGTCTCTCCTAATTCGGTGCAGTTAAATTGCAGCATGTCATGCAGGTTTTTTTTATATATATAATTCATGGAAAATACAACATATAAAGCTGTCTTTCAATCACCTGGTTACCAGACCATTTCTTGACTGTTCTGACAGCACGTCAGGATGTCAAATGCTGTGTTTTTGTTTTGTAAAAACATGTTTCTGTATTCATCCATCTCTCCACGTCTCTAGATCTGCTCTGTATTCGTCCATCTCCCTGCTTATCTGCGTATCTCTCTCTGTCTGGCCTCCCTCTCTCCTCTCAGGCCAGTCTAGCCTAAGCAGTCATGTCGGCCAAAGCCATCTCCGAGCAGACGGGAAAGGAGTTCCTCTACAAGTACATCTGCACATCTGCAGCTGTCCAGAACAGATTCCGCTATGTCAACGTGACGGCAGAGACAGACTTTGAGCGACTGGCGCGAGACCATCCATGGCTGCTCGTAGAGGTGAGGCAGGAGAACATTGTTTGTGGAGGGTGAAGTAAGATTTTCTTAAGCTGAGGGAACAGCTTGTTTGTTATGTCACAAATTTATAGCCCATAAATTCCTAAAACACCGTCTCCCTTAAGCTTGTGGAAAATGATCTTCTCTTTATGCAGACAATTACTTAGGCTGGCAGCAGAGTGGTCTCTTGGTGCCTTTTAGCTGAGAACACAGACAGCAGAGCGGTCCAGAAGCTCTGTTTCATTCATGGTGGAAATGAAGTGCTAAAGGAAATGCTCTCTTGTCTTTCATTCCTAATTGGTGACGGGGAGGTCAGAGTTCAGCTAGGGTAGGATTTTTCTGCAGAAGCAGTTCTCCAGGTACACGGCAGTATTCCAGTTCTTACTCAGCACATCGCTCTGCTCTCAGATCAACCCTCACTGCTCTTCATAGCGAAGCAGTAGCAGATAGACAGGCTGTAATGGCAGTTAATTGAATTACTTTGTGACTCATCTTGCAGGATAAAGTATCATTGCCCTCTCTCTCACGGTTGAAGGTTTTTATCTGGAAGGTATGAGGAGGATGTGGAGGGCAGATGCACAG